TGTAAACAATGTGTTAATACTGTTATGTTTGAAAATTTGTGATCGTTAAATATATAAAAGTTTGAATAAGATTCAAATTTGAACAGTTGGGGAAAAATTAAGTTTAGTTTCATATCAAACRATTTTTAATAGTCATATCTTGCAATGCACAGTTGCACAAAATATAGCAATATTTTGTTATGCTTACTGCAGTAAGTTCTGGTTAACATTGAGTATTAATTATTATCCCAATTTTTTTCTCAAAGATGCATACTACCTATAAACCTATACCACTAGTGATACTTTGTTAYTGACCACCTGTTAAGAAATATTATTCTTCAATATATTTTGTTTGTATTTCAGGATTTACTAAATAAAAGWATATACAATTATTTTCCTTAGAATATTTGTGTTATTTGTACCACTAATTATAAATATTACTATTAAATASTATCTATAATAAATGGTTTTACTTACATCTTGTATTTCAAATTAATATTGTTTGATATCCCAGGTACAAATTTGAGTACTAGACCTATTTTTCTTTTAAAATAAAAATTGTGTTTCTTATTGCTATATATTAGTATTTTTCTTTTCATTTTTTTAAAATTGAAATTATATCTAACCATTCAGAAAATATGTACACAACTTCAAATGTCATTATTTAAATTTACTAAATTTAGCTATATAGACCAATTTAAAACTTAAAATCTCTAAACATATTTAAAACATTAACATTACAAACAATCGGTATATTATAAATGTTGTACAGAAAATTTTACTTATAGAAATTAGAAAGTGGAAAATATGTCGACAAACTAATCATCTTCAAGCTGTATTTGTAAACCTTTTTTTTTTTACTTATAGTTTATAATGTTTCAGAGGTAAAAATTTTAAAGGTGGYCAAATACTTCCATTCTTTGCTGCCGGTGTTAGTGCAGTGATACATCCGCGCAATCCCTATGTACCTACTATACATTTTAATTACAGATACTTTGAAGTAACTTTACCAGATAATACAATAGAGGTATGTATGTAATAAGAATTACCTAGGCTATGAATTTGATAATTTTGATCGCTGAATTGCATTCTTATTGCATTCTTAGAAGAAAAAGTTTTAAATTTCGCATTTTATACCAATATTTTATTAGGGTATACTCTTTAATCTGTATTATAAATAGTTTATTAATTTTTTAATATTACTATGAATAAATAAATACTATAATTTATTAATTTATACCTTTTAACCTATAAACATAACTGTTAATTAATTTGTGTGATATTTGTWTTGCAGAACTTCACATATTTTTTTAACTTTTAGTGCATTAAATTCACAGCCCAGTTTATTATAATGTATGTTTCTATTAAGTATTTAAGTTATAATAGTTCATTGATCGTCACAATGATATAGATACATAATATAATTAAATCATTAAGTATAATTGTTTTCTTATTGCAGTGGTGGTTTGGTGGTGGTACTGATTTAACTCCTTATTATCTGAATGAAGAAGATGCAGTTCATTTTCATCGATCGTTAAAAAATGCTTGTGATCAACATGACAAAGCATATTATCCTAAATTTAAACGTTGGTGTGATGACTATTTTAATATACCACATAGAGGAGAACGAAGAGGAGTGGGTGGTATATTTTTTGACGATTTGGACACTCCATCTACATTCAGTTTTGTAAAGAGTTGCGCTCAAGCAGTTATCCCTTCGTATCTACCATTAGGTACCTATTATTTAATTGTGAAATTGTATAGAATTTTAATATAACCATATTTTATTCATAGTGCAAAAGCATAAAAACGATGTGTATAATGACAAAGAAAGAGAATGGCAATTGCTAAGACGTGGGCGATATGTTGAATTCAATTTGATATATGACAGAGGTACAAAATTTGGTCTCTACACGCCTGGAGCTAGATATGAAAGTATACTTATGTCACTTCCCTTGACTGCAGTAAGTTTCAAAAATTTTAATGACTATAATTTCTTATTAATTATTATTAATCATAGGCATGTGCAGGGTATGTTGTGGAGCTGYGCCCTGCAACATTTTTATTTTATACAATAGTTAATAATAATATTAAATTTACACCTAATATTCTTTATTTTCACTATCATCAATACAGTCTAAAAATTTAAATTATTATATTGTAACGGCAATATTTATCTTACTGAATTGTGTTTGGTCAAGTAACCCCTACTAAAATAATACTGTACACCCTGTGAAAAATTCCTGTGCATACCTATTTTAATAATATTATTGTTATTTTATTTATATTTATATTGTTTTATCTAAAATACTTCAAAATATTTTAGTAACTTCTATTAAATAAATATGTAAAAGTAAAGTATTTAAATAATGATGTATTAGGCACATTTAAATAATAAATTCAAATTAGAGGATGGTACACTCGCATGAGTTATTATTATTATTAATGATTAGAGATTGTCATTGGCAGTATAATATGGGCATTACTGCATAAGATATTATTTATTATTCAGTTATTTCTTTCACTTTCATTTATAAAAAATGCCATCTATTGAAGAAATTACTGTGAATGGAATRTTGACATCTCAAATAGTTGTACCAATTATCGGTGATGGTGCCTGCCTTTTCCGTTCAATTTCCTTTCATTTRTATAAGACTCAAGAGAGATACAAGGAGATCCGAAATACATTTGTTGCGTATGCCTCTAATAATTGGAATACCTTTGTTAATATGTATTACAATTCATATTGTGACAACTTTTCCACTGCTGAGGATTATGTTCAAGATATGGAAAATCCTACTGTCTACAGTGGTTACTGCGAATTATTTGTAGCTGCCAATATTTTCCCATATGTATTTGAAATTTATTATAATAATAATCTTCATGCCAAATTTGGTGTAGATACATTCTCAGTAAAAAGATTGCGTCTAACCGAAAATATTAATAGTGGGCATTTTTATGTTTATTTTATCTATTTCTAATATTCCTAATTTTACAGAAAATGTAATTTTTACTTCAAAGAGCGATTTGTTTATTTGTAATAATGTTAGTGTCACAGACAATTTAATTAATAAAAGTAAGAAGTGTTGCTGTGTTAGGATGTACA